TCCTGCGTTCACTAACCGAAAGTTTCCATATCAGAATGCCTTCCACCAATATCAACCCATTCAGACAGTTTATTATTGAGAACTCCAGCCCTACGACAGAGAATCTGCAACACCATTAACCTGCTAATGTCATCAGGACTGGATATAGTGGACACGAACTAAGTAAGCTTTATGTCAATCTTCTTCCTGAAACGTTTCCGTGGTGTTTGTAGGAGAGAATATATGCTTTACTCTATCAGCGACAGTGCCAACGAGTACCACTAGTGCCAGAATTGCAGCAGTAAAATTAATTAATTAAGTAAGTAATCAAGCAGTGAGGTATATAAATATTCAAGCTTACATGAATTTATGTATTCAATGTAAACTACGATACATACGAACTTTATGTATCCAAGAATTATTGTGTATATATATATATATATATATATATATATATTAAATGTCAACAACCATATTAAGTAATCATAACTTATGTATAAGGGTACTAATCAAATGTTTATTATTTCAATCAAGTATTTAACAATATAACAAGTATTTAAATGTATAAAGTATTCTAACATAATTATGTATCTATTATGTTTTTATTGCAATCAAGTATTCAAGTATAAACTAGTATTTAAATGTACAAACGGTATGCATAACAAAAATCTATTAGAAACACGCATGTATGTACTCAAATAACGCACGCCCCAAAAATGAATGTAACAGGTCTAATGTATGTCTTACCGTAATCAAGCTGTCAAGTACATAACTAATGTATTTATGTAACTTTATAGTGTATCCAATGTATTAATGTATTTTATTGATGGATCATATTTCTTGCATTTAAGAATTACCATTATTATTACTGTTATGTTGTCCTGGGACTCGGGAGCTGCCGATTCAAGATAGTGGAGGGCGTGGGGCATATACCTGCTTACCTTTGTTAGACATCAGGTGTCCCCGTCCTCCTTCACCTGTCACCTGTCTCTCCTGCTTCGAAATAACCTAATGTCTCTACAAGCTGACTGGGCGTTTTCGTGTTTTCCCCATGTTTGAGGTGGATACGAGTCAGCTTCCATTAAAATGCCCTCCACGAATGCATGCTTTCCTTCATATAGATGTAAACTTACTTTGCCACAATCAACCAGACTAAAACGTCCTGTGTGTGTGAACAATTTTTTATCCTTTCTTATTATCATGGTCTCAAAATTAGATTTTTCCTTACTATTACGGTTGACCCATCAGCGGCCGAGCGGTGAAAACCGCTAGCACTAGTAATTCGGTGCGGGATTCGAGTCCTGGCAAACGGGCTGGCTGCATGGGTATTTTCAGTGGTACGTGTGTAACGTAAATACGAGCCAGTTTTCCATAAAAACTCCTCCAGGAGGCATCCCTCCCTTTTCGTGTTGTACCTAATGGCAGAGTAATAGGGCAATATGTTTCTTTCAAATGTATTCAGTTATTAATAATAAACTAAGAGATTTGAAAGCCATAACCGCAGATTCTGATCAATATTATTAATTGCTAGCTGAACCTGTAAAATTACACTAAATAGATTCCTTAAAATTACAAGATTCTAATTAGAATTTACTTTGTTTCTTCCTTGCTTTGGAGAGGGGAAGAATTTTCGGATGAACTATTATAATTAAAATGCGTTGAAATGGTTCATCGACTAATTTTGGATACAGGAAAACAAGGATTTTTGTAGAAGAGAGTTTTCAATTGATTTCAATGTTCCTCCTTTTGACGAAGTGAAGTTGATTGAATTCCTCTTCTATTGTGTTCGTTTTTCTTAAATTTCATTACTTTTTTGAATTTGGGTATGGCTTTTGCAAAAAGTTTTAGTTTTTAACATTTTTTTAAAATTCTTTATTGCATTTATAGGATTATTTGAAATTTAATAATTATGATTTTCAGTTTTTGGTATCTGTGAAAAATTAGTTCTAAATTTCTTACGGTATGTCTTTACTGATAATTTTTCAGCATCTTTTTTTTTTTCAATGGCAGATTGTGAAAAATTACAAATGTAACCCAGGTCATTAATCTATACAAGGCCGGATACAGTGGTCTCTTTATTATGGAGGCACCCAATAGGTGGGCCACCATCGCCTTTCCTATGAAGGGACGGACAGTTACAACCATGCCTTCTTCGTGATTCGAACCCAGGCCCTTCGGCATCGCAGTCAGCTTCCCTGACCACTATACCGACTGTGCGGCTTTTTTCAGCAGCTTAAGCAGCATGCACGAAAACACTAGGCATGTTTATATTTTGCTTTTTAAAAAAATGTTTTTAAAAAACAAGAAATATTTTCTTGTTTGTCTGTGCATAATTTATAGAAATCTGCAGGTTTATCCCGAACCTGATGAAATTTTGTACACTTGACCTTCAAACCAAGAAGAAAGTAATTGTTTACATATGATTTCAAAAAAGCAGAATGTTATTCACGTGACACGCATGATAGGTTCAGGTCGTCATTGTTGCTTTCTCGCTATCATTTCTAACTCAAATCTTAATTGGCGCCGTGTTCATTTATTTTTAAAACCGTATGAAACTTTCCAGAAGAGTGTAGAACTTATAGGGCAGAATTTATATGAGCCCTTTACTACTGTTTCGAGAATATTTTGAAAACAGGGAATAAATCTGCCGCAGTGGATAGTTATTCTCTGGAAACTCATTTCCGAAAAACAACACATCTGGTAAAGAAACAAATATCATTTCTTATTGAAAGCGTTAGATAACACCGTAGTAGTTATCATATTAGATAGGTGTAGAACTTTCGAAAACAGTTTAAAACCTTTAAAGCAGAATTTAAATTTGAGTTTTATCAAATTATTCGCGAATATTTCGAAAATGGGATTTCGAGAGGAGGGAAAAAAACCACCCACATCCCTCTAAATTATGAAATAAAAATAAAAAATTCGGATTAATGAGATGGATGAATTTGTTTTGTTTGAACAAGCAAATCAATAACGGGTTCAATAAACGAGGCTGCAATTCTTAAGATGTTTGTTTTTCAAGATGTTTGTCAGTGATCTTTGTCCTATTTTTGTTTTATGTATGCTTTATTCTTGAAAATAATTGTTCACAAATATAGGTACTGCCAAAATCTGAAGACATTAATAAAGCATAATTGTGAAAATTAGGATATTTATCATTGGGTACGTAATCTTTATAAAACTCCAGTAAAGAAACATTTTCAAATTTTTCTTACAGGTGAATGTCATTTTGCAGTTATTACATTATGACATACTAAGATGTTTTTATTTAAATTTTTTATTTTAAAATAAATGCCAACGAATCGATTATATATGAATCAAATTCAAACATTTCCTTTTTTTAATAAAATTGTGTAAATTTAAATACTTTCATAATTTGCTTTTGGGCCGCACTTTAGGCAACCATGCTCTAAATGATGTCTCTTCACTCTGAGTCCCCAGGCAAAGCTGGGTATATCAACCAGTTTAATTTATAATCAAATAAATGATAAAAGTAAGGAACATTATTTTTAATTTAATCCGATATGCGCGGTGTTTCATTTTCTAAGCTCATGTAAACTTATTCACGTGGAATAGTTTTCTTAGCAATCATTTCATTTTTAAAATTTGTTTTCAAACGTTAAGCTTACATACAGCTGTTTGCAATGAATGTACTTTAATTTTATAGATTTGATTGTTATTAACTATGATTAACTTATTGGATATTCTGTACAGCAATGAAATAGAAGTGTGTTTACAGTATATTTGCAACCTGAAATCGTATATTTAGAAATTTGAGAGATGCTAAGAAGAATCCCTAAGCTAATAAACGTACACAGATCGATTGAACTGGTGAGATAAGGTACTTTAATTCAATAAACCATACAGTGAACTGGCGATCTGCATTCTGGTATGATATATTTATTATTTGCTGATGGATCATGAACCCAATGAAATCTTTTTGTCAAGAATAAGAACAGACTAAGCATATTAAGTAAAACCTAAATCCAACTGCAGTGCAATATAGGCTTCATGCAATGTTAAATCAGATGAAACGAATTGCACCAGTCCAAGGAATCAAATGTTGTCGATATCTTATAACTTTTCTCAGCTCTCTTCATGTAATTTACCTTATGATCATTAATCTGTATTTTATTTCAAATGAAAGCGTGCACGTCTTATAGAAATAATATCAATTTAAATTTACATTCGTACATATGTATACGAATGGTGGTGTAGAAACGAGAATCCTATATAAATGCAATTTCAGATAGAATTTACTAAACAAGTATTTGCCTTAAACACGGGACCATTCTATTTAGGTCTTTAACTAGTCTGAAAAACGGTTTTGTCCTCGAAAGATAACAGGTGCCTTTTGAAAATACTGGACATTTGAAAATACTTTGTTTTATAACAGATACCTTTTTGAAAATACTGGAGTAGCCAAGTGGATAAATGCGATACTATGTGAGTTTTTAATTGGGCTGAAAATTAATCTTTGTCCTCTAACCATTACAGGTGCCTTTTGAAAACACTGCTATTTGAAAATACTTTGCTCTATAACAGGTGCCTTTTTGAAAATACTGGAGCATCCAAGTAGGTAAATGTGATGCTAATGTGATACTATGCGAGTTTTAACTAGTCTGAAAAACATCTTTGTTCTCGAAAGATAGCAGGTGTCTTTTGAAAATACTGGACATTTGAAAATACTTTGTTTTATTACAGGTGCCTTTTTGAAAATACTGGAGCATCCAAGTGGATACAAAATGCCACATTTTTTGTAGCTTCAGGCAAAGTATATCGTACTAGACTGTCAATTACATCTATGCTGCCATACATTTTACGTATAATTTTCGTTGAAATATCAATCTTTAGAAGTTTATATATTTTCAATTTTTGCTTGCTTTTTTGAATGAAACTTTCGCTAAACTATACTCAAAGTTGTCCATGATATAAAATTTCTTCTTTAGACTAAATAATTTACGACATTTCAATTTGGACAAAGTACAGAAAATTAAGGTATCACCAGAATTTGAACAGTAATGGGCGTAGTGTTCTTAGAGCATTTAGGTGGATATTTGATATATGTGTGCGATACATGTGACGCCTATCTAACCAATCGCAGCGAACTTCTGAGCACCCGCTTCACCAGTAGCACTGGAGCTGCATATATGTTCAAAAATGTGGTGAATACTTTGCATGGAAACGCAGAGTTTCGTGAAATGGTTACAGGGAGTCACGTAGTGAGAGATGTCTTCTGCAAACGATGCAATGTGCGAATTGGTTGGTTTTATGAAATGGTCAGCAATGAATCTCAGTACTACAAAGAAGGGCGTACAGTACTCGAATTAGCTCTAGTGAGTGAAAGAGATAATTTTGGTGTAAACAGTAGTTGAACTGTATGTAAAACTGAACTTTGTGAGGCAAGAAATGTTTATGATTCAAATGAATGGTATTATCCTTTTTGTTTCAAGTATGATTGCTCAACTTTAAATATTAAGTATTAATTTTTTTTTCCATAAAAGTGTTTTAATTTTTTTCGGATTAAATTTATTTTAAGTATGCAATTAAATTATGTTCTTTATTTCATGTAACCTTTCTATACAAGAATAAATTTATTTTCATCACATAGCACCATATGTAATTATGAAAACTGTTAAGTTTTTCCTAGAAGTCAACTTTCAATAGACAAGCATTTTTCGCCATTTCACAAAGTCTTCAATGAGTTGGCGATTTTTCATGGAATTCGGATACCTAGAAAGTAAAAAAAAAAAAAGAGGAAATTGTCTTAAACTACAAATAATATTTTTTAACGTAAGACACTTTTGCTGATATTAATATATGTAGAATATATATATAAATATATATAAACTTAAAGCATCTAAATTTATTATTAAATTGAAAGGTAGTTCTTCTATAATATGGGGAAAGTGCAGAATCGCGCACTGCTTACCTTTCTAAGATTTGCACATACTCGGCATCCATGTACACATCGACCTATTTTTACTTAAAAGTCAAAGAAAATTGACAAAAATCAAATTCTTCTTACTCTTGTAAAAAGAGCCAAACAAATAAGTGGGCGATTCTCCACTTTAGCCTATAATATTATTAATTGCAACCGTGTATCGGCGTATTGCACTCCGATGGCGAGAAGACTTTTATTTTATAACATGATTTTTATCCTCTTCCGCAACTTTGAGCCAGTTCTGTTGTTGCCTTCTTAGATCGTTCTTAGATTTTAAAGAGGGCAGCTTCTTTTAGAAGTTTCTTACGCCGCCATTTTTTTTGATTGAAAATTACCCCTCTTCGTCGGTAATAATCTTTATAGACAGCACCCAAACATTGACACCGCGCTTACAAAGTATAACAGGATAGGACATTTTGAACACATGTTAAAATACTTAGTTTTGCTATCCGACACTTTGAACCTTATTACATACATTTGACAAGAACTACAAAATTTCGGTTTCTTCAGAGCAGTTTGAATTCTACTTTCTTTAGTAAAGAACATAGTTTGGTATCTTTAGAATCAATTTGATTAAGCAAAGAAAGTAGTGCTAAGATTTCAGTAAGTTTGCAGTTTTTCAGTTCTTTTTTTTTTTTTCGATTATTGTTTCAAATATGTTTTTATTTTTTAGCTGTTTAAGGCTGAGATAGGTCTTTTTTTTAATTCATAGAAATCTCTATGCCAAGTTTTTCGTTTTCTTATTATTTAAAGTTTAGTTTAGCAAAATCGGGAACTCCCGATTTTTAAGTTTTGTTTAAATGGCAATTAGTTTTGCACTTTTTTAATAATTGCTTTTGAATTTTGAATCTACATATATTGGTTTTAGACCAATTTGTTTTTTTTTTAAAACATCAGTGTACATAATGTAAAGGTCCATGGTTTTTTTTCAATTGTCAATTTGGAACTGTGTTAAGTTTTATTCTTTTTCCAAGTGTTTCGGAAATGTGTAGGAAAAATTCTGGTACATTTGGGATTTGAATTTTCGGTTTTTATGACTATTAAAGTCCATAATGAGCATTTAATGAAATCTTTTTACGGAGTTTGATCTCAAATGAACCAGGAGAAAGAAACATATTTTCGAAATCTATTAATAGACTATAATGAAGCCTTAAGTCATTTTTCCCTGATGAGTTCTCAATTGGACTTTCAGTGACAAGAGATTAATTTTTCTTTGTATAATTTGTATATTTTTCCCTTTCAAATTTATATTTTTCGAGTTTTTTCTACTATGAATTTTATTTTAAATTGGATTTGTTTTTATATTAAGTTAAACCTCTTACACAAGGTTGCAATTAATAATATTATAGAGGAATTCCCTTGCTTTTATTCCAGTTTAATAATAAACTAATACAGCTTTAAGTTTATTCTGCTTCAATCCTGCAGCTATAGCCCAGGACCTTTTTTTTAAACTTTAGCCTATTTCTATATTTTTTGTACTTATATATATATATATATATATATATAACCTTTATCAGAAACGTTCCAGGACAAAGGTCGTAAAAAATAGAAAATTGCATTTACCATGTAATGATCCTAGCTTCTATCAAAGTAGTCTCCTTGACTATCTATGCACCACTTCCAAATTTTCTGGAGGTCTTGGAAGCAAGTAGAAATTTCCAACTGCGATGTGGCGATTTATATTGCCAAAAAGTAATAATGAAAACGCATAACTTTAACAAAAATGGAAGTTTTGTTCCTAAAATTTTATTTGAAAAGAAAAGATTTCCTGTTTAAAAAAATGGTTTCATGGTACAACATTCTAACGAGTTCATTAGCGGAGTGTAATTTTTACCATTCATTAAACTCAATTAATTAACACTGATAAAAAGCTTGGTGTCAAAAACGTGTTCATGAACCGCTTTGTTTCTCCTTTTAACGATCAAACACTTACTTGTTAAGTATTCGTGGGCAGGAACAGGAACACTCAGGCTAAGGTGTCACTATACCTAGGTGATGTTCCCTCTTATAATGATATAGCATAACCTACGAGAGATAATTCACGTGGGCGCAACCTTCGCAGTCAACTGCGGGCTTTCTACATAGTCAAGTTTTTATTTGCTAGGACACCTTGCGACACAGGTCACTACTAGAATCGCAAAATTCACAGGATGATACAGTGAAGATCTTGACACGAAGTCAGTCCCCCTTGAGAGGACTGAGCAGAACTGAATGAATATATATTATGTAGCGCAGGACAACAGCCAAGGAAGCCTACAAAACAGTACAATAGAGTCCCCACTAAGGCTGATCCAACCATCGTCGCGCGGGCTGCAAGTATTCATGGGCAGCAGTCGAACTTACCCGTATAGTCCCAATCACATTATGTTTCGGCTACGCGGGACCGACGCCAAAAGGGCCAATTCTCAGAACCAGCACAATTCCAGGAAACACACGTAGCTAGGTTTTTAACACGTAGCTAGGCATTTTAACTTACTACAAAGACTTGAACGCCAAACACTAATCGATTATCGCTCAGATTGGGATCACGTGAGGCTTCAGAAACAGAACTTTCGTCTGATTGGTTGTCTGTACCCGGGACTGAGGTCCAGCCGAGACACTTTCGGTGAGGTTTGAAAAAATCCCGCGTAGCCGCAACATTGTTTCCGTAGCTAGGTGGTACTTCGCTTCAGGCGGGGTTCTTTTTTCTAGTAATCCTCCTGTTTAAACTAGTGTTACCAGAATCTTGTTTCTCAGAAAAATCTCGTCTAGCAGGGATTGTAGCCATGTGGCATAACCTCTTAAAAACATCGGAATGCACTACAAGAAATGGATGATATACCTCGCAGGAGGAGGATAGACGATCAAGAATATGGGAGCCATCATCCTTACCACTATGCCTATAGCACTTAAATGATTAACTTTTAAAGTTATACATAACCTTTAAAATTTAAGCTGCTAATAATTAACCCTGCAAATGATTCTGCTAAAAATTATATAGTGATAGAAAGTATTCAAATATTATGATCTTGGCAAGAAAATTGGCAAAACACCCTGAAATCGTTGATTTGTAGGCTACTGGAAATTTCAAATTCAAGTTAAAGACAAATTACTAGAACAATTTCTGGAAATTCTATCTTCACTTCCTCTCGCTGTTTCTGTGTAATAAAAAATGACACATGTTTGTGATTATTCCGTTGATTTCCTTGACTAGTTCAATCAAAGGACTGTGAAAGAACTTGTTGCAGCTGAACTGCGCGAATTTATCTGCATATCATATTGCTCACTAATTTCATTCGTGTAATTATTAGAGCTATACACTCTTTAAAATGTTAAATTAACGATCAGAAATGGACTGATAAATTATAAACCATTTTTCTCGCTTTCCAACGATGAGCTTTCCCTCTTTTATGGAAATATTTGTGTTCTCATGTAACGGATATGATTTTTTTCTGACGCATTACTAAATCTTTATTTTCTGCTTTATATTCGGAGTATTTTTAGTTGTCTTCGATTCTTTATACTAAGTATACTATATGAAAAGTTTTGATGACTTTATTTAGGTTTCAAGCTTCATAGCCTTCATTCTTTTGGAATTTTCATTCAGGAGACTACTTGTACTCGTTCAAGACATTTAGAAACGGTCTCCTCTAAGTCAAAAAAGTAATTTCTGATTCAAAATCTAAACAGCCGAATGACTTTATATTGATTCTAACGACTTTCGGAATTAATCCTAATGAATTCATTTTCCTTCTAACAACAGTATATATAACCTCAACAAAAGCAGGTACTTATAAATACTTTAATAAAAACGGATGCAAAATAACAATACTTACACCTGCTACTTGCCTAATAAGTTAAATGAGTTAAATGTCAATAAACTGTTAAATGTAAAACCATCCTTACGTCTTTTTTCTTCTTGAAAGGCAATCTTAAGATTTTTTTCATCTCTGGCAGAGTGTGCGCTAAAGAAACATAGAACAGATAAATTCAAATAGAGCAGTTAAGAACTAATTTAACTAATACTTATTTTCTGCGTAAATATTTGCTAGTATTTTCATGAATTACACTTCTATATAAATAAACTTTATAAATAAATAATGATTTCATTCAGTTGTGAGGATTTATTTTATTATTTTGACTAATAGTTAATTTCTGGTTAAAACCTTTTCACTCACACTTTCTGCCAGAATGTAAAACAGTTAGCGAAGTTATTTTCAAATTAAGTTCGAATGAAATGCTATTTAAACCAAATTTTCGGAAAAATGATGTTAGAGTGTGTTATGCCCTCTTAAAGGTCATGTTGTTACCTTGAATTACTGGGATTTGATTGTGTGGCGTTGATTGCTTCTAGCCATTAAGCTTGTTTCGCCGGCTTCTACGAGTCAGAGCCTTCCTGCGCATTTAAATTGTCTTATGAGGCGTTAGGCTAGTTTAATTACATTTTATTTT